AATTATATAAAGGATTGTAAATTGTAATAATACTTTAACAAATGAAAATAAATATTTTTACATCACATCACATGTCATGTGAGTTTAAAAAATTATAAATAATTTAGTGCAAATGAAATATACTTGTTGAAGCATTTTTAATATATCACAGCTTAAAATATTTATACGCACAATACACAACAATAAAGTATTAAATACTATTTTCACCTCACAACACAGATTTATACACGTAAATTGATTCGAAAACATCTCTAACCAAATACGAGTGAAATAATCTGAATTTACACGTAAATCGATCCGAATTAATCCCGAAGCCGTCAAAATAAAGAAAATATGAGTGAATAAAATGTTATAAATTTAGCCCAAAAGAAACGTTATGAAGTAACAAGAAACCACAAACCTAAACGTTAAAAGAGAAACCGCAAAATTGGGATGGGGTGCGCATCACACTACACGGCGCATGTTAGTGAAAGTCCCCTCTATGTCCCCGGATCCTTCCGTTTCCACTTCTTTATCTCCGAAAACCTAATGAACCCCCAAGCCCTCTCTCTCTCTCTCGAACGCGTGTGTGCAATATATAGATCCAAGAGGTCTTTTGACTCTATTCTCTCAATCGGACTTTTCCAGTTCTCGGTCGTTCTCTGCCTCTGCTTTCGCGATCAAAAATAGCGCTGTTTCGATCCTTTTCTCGTGAAAATTTAAGGTAATTCCTGTTATTTTTTCTTGTCGATTTCAGTTTTTTTTTTCTTAATGTATTTTGAAGACCGGTCTCTTTTTTTGCATGGATTTGGCTCCTATTTCGTCGATTCTCGCGTTTTTTTATCAATTGTGTTTCACTGTAATATTTTTTTGTGTGAAATTAATAATTAAAAAAACCAGTTAAAGATTTGTATAGATCTGATCTATCTTCCATGTTTTGTGGTTGAATATTTCGTAAGTATGTCAAATCTGGTGGTTTTGGAGGTAATTATCTTATGCGTGTTAAATCTTGTTTGTTTTCAGAGCTGATTGAAGTGATCTGGTTTTTGTGAATTTTGATTGTTGAATTTTGATTCTATGAAATTCTTGACCTTTTAAAAGCTCTAAGATAATGTAACGAGTAGCCACGCCATGGGCTATGAGAGAATTTTGGCTTCTTATTGAGCCGGTATTTTTTTCCTCCCAATTTTTGTGTATTTTCAGCAACAATTGGTTTTGATTAGAGCAACTTTCCGTTGATCAAATTGAAGGTTTTAAGCGACAATGCGGGGATATGATAGAGAGGTAAAGCGTTTTTTCTAGGTTCAATATCAAAGTTTTTATCTCATAGTATAGATATTTTTTTTCTCATTAATTAATGCTATGTTCATGCAGGAAGATGAATACTATGATGAATATGAGGAGGAAGGTGAAGAGCAAGCAGAGGAGGAGTATGAAGAGGAAGAAGAACGAAAACCCACTGTAGAGGAAGTGGAATATCTTGAATTAAGGGAGCGGATTAAAGAACAAATTAGAAAGAAGATGCGGAAGGAAAGTGGTTCTACTCCTTCTAAATCCCAAGAGAAGAAAAAACTCCCATCTGATAAGTGAGTGATGTGTTATATTTTCTTAATGCATTCAAACTTGTTTCCTTTGCTATCATGGGGAAATGAGCAGTTTTTTTCTTCTAAAAATGAATGTTAACACTGAATGTTGTAGACCTTTTGTAAATGCCAAACCTCTGGTAAACAGACATGCATGCCCGCACTTGAACACAATGCTTTATGTGAGACAGTTGGATGTTTACAGTTCAATTTGTAATTATTTGTGTATCTTTCAGTCATAATTACATGCGAGAATCATGTGTCATAGGGATCACAAGAGTCAGGGAATTAAGTGATCGATATGACAAGCCTTGCCTGTTCTACAGTATTATCATGTTGATAACTTCACTGGTTTATTCCAGCTGCCAAGTCATCAAAGCCTAATCTAAGATAAATCTTTTGGTGCCAAAAGATCAGCCAAACATGTCATTGTTAGTATAGTTAGGGTGATGACATGATTGGTTTCTTATAAATTTTGTAAAAGACGTAGACCACTAATTCAGGGTCTAAAACTACGAAAGTGTGGCCTCACCTCTGGAACATCTCACTAAAAACTCGACTAGGCAAGTTTTATTTTCTGTCGCTTCATTTAGGTTCATCCTGTGAAACGAACTTAACAGTCTGATATTATGTTTGGGTGTAGGAATTGTAGGATTTGTGCATGTTTGCTCATGCTTATTTTTCTTAATGGTTTGTTTCACATCACTGGTTTTATTTTTTCTGCAGTTATGGTTCATTCTTTGGCCCTTCTCAACCAGTTATTTCTCAAAGAGTAATTCAAGAAAGCAAGTCAATAATAGAAAACCAACATTTGGCTCTCAGAGTTCCAAACGCCCAACATACTGTATGTATCGTAAACTTTTTGTTTTTTCCAAATCATGTGAGAAATGCATGCAGCAGATTATTTTTTTACAAAGCATTTTTGTACATGCATTCTTGTAGCATTGTTACATTGATTTAAAATTTGTGAAATTATAGGTGCCTAATTTTGCTAATTCTTATCATGGTTGCTTTAATTTTTGCAATTTACAAATAGATAATTTTCCTGACTGGTGGAGTATGCTACTCCCAAAGGGAGCCATGTGGAAACTACTTTGATGTGAAAAAGGCAGCTCTGATGCTTGAAATTTAGTATATTACTACATTGTAATTTCCTAAACCAGTTCAGTCACTATAATGCCATAAGTTTTCTAGGGGTGTCCATTTCGGTTTTTACCTTTTTTTTTTTTTTTTGTAAATGGAATGGCATACTTGCAACTTGAAATGGACCTTTGTATCGAGTGAAATCAATACGTTGACATAACTTTCGTAGCCTTGGTGGTACAGGTGTGATCTAGTTACTCTGTATTGGTTTGTTCTCTAGTTTCTTTGTTGTAGGTTTTGTTGATTTTGGACTGCTTTACTTCAGTGATCTGCAACTGCAAATGCTGTTATGAATTTGACTTGTTGCCATGTTGGAATGAAGATTCTGCAAACTTCTGCTAGTATATATCAGATGGAGATCTTACTTTCACAATCTTGTTTGCTTTTGCAGAACAAAAAGAGCTCCTCTTCAACGGCTACAGGTTTAAAAAACAGAGTACATGGACTTGTACCGAAAGTAAAGAATGAGGTATTCTGAGCAGCTCTCTTCATTTCTTCTTCCTTTTGTAGAGTGATCAATGGCATTGATTTTCACTTAATGTGCAGGTAAAAACAAAAGTACAAAAACTCAAGGATACGAGAGATTATTCTTTCTTGTTAACGGATGATGCAGAGCTCCCAGCTCCTACAAAAGAGCCTGCCCCCAGAAATGTCTCTGCTCCAAATTCTGGTAACTGCTTTTGTTCATGATCTGGTTATTCAGGATTAGTTTACATGCTATTTTTATTGAGGAAACTTATACAGGTTTTTTGCTGATGTTCAAGAGGCGAGATCTGCTCAAGTTCCACAAAAGATCAAACAAGTTTCCAGCAATAGTGGCAGAAATATTCATGGCATTCGTGAAGAAAGGAAGCCAGTTTTCAGGAATGGCCAAATGCATTCTAAAGTAGGGTCACAGAGGCCAACTTCTGCTAATAAACCTGATGCGACATCGATAAACTCCAAAAGGCAGTTAGGTAGCAACAATGGGACTGGGCCTGGCCGGCCTGCAGGGCCAAAATTCTTGCCTTCAAAGACACCTGCTTCCATCATGCAGAAGAAGGCCTCATCACCTAGTGCTAAGAAAATCCTGCCTGCTATGCACAAATCTCTCCCTTCAAACCCTTCAAGGTCATCTGTTCCAAAGCAACACTGGGAACAGAGAAAAGGATTACAAGAACCCAATAAGGCTAGACCGATACCAAAACAGCCACTGTCATCTTTAAAATCTCAGGTTTGAGCCTATTCTTTATATTTTAATGGTTAGACAACGTAATCTTTGTTAAATGTTTCTTTATCTCTCACTTCCTAATATTAGCAGATAAATAAGCCAATCAAGCAAGTGTCGGCTCATGCATCATTACAAGATAACCGCCCCAGGAAAAAGCCTGTGAGACCGTTTCCTGATGCAGGCTCTGATGATGAGGATGCTTTCAGTATGCTCAGAAAATTAATTGGGTAAAGCTGCTACTGCCCTTTCACATACACTCTTTCATTTCCCCTCAAAAACTTTCTTTCTGTTATTTTGTTGAATAATCAATCTGCCTGATTCATCTTTTTCTCAAGTAATGATCTCTTGACTTAGAGAGCTTCTCAGTCAATATCATGCCCTCTAATTTATCAGTTCTGTTGTAAGAATTATCAAGCTGTAATATGGTTTTGGGTGACCTACTTTTGGATTCACAATTAAATTGGATTTGATTTGTCAACTTGTGTACCTGGATTTTTGTTGATGCTTTTATGTGATCTTGATAGATGGTTTGAGGTAATTTCTTTTTCATGAGCTACTGCTGTTTCTTTGCAGAAATAAAAACCGTGGTAACTATGATGACGATGATGATAGTGACATGGAGGCAAATTTCGATGACATCATGAAGGAAGAGAGGAGAAGGTTAGTATCATTAAGTAATCTTAGACGAGAATGTTATTGAATTTGTTAGTCACTGTTTCCTATATTTTGACTGTTGATTTTGTTCTCAACTTGCTTTTCTGTTCTTTTACATCCCCATCGCAGTTCCTAATCAACTTGCCTCTTTTTTTTTTTCCTTTTTTTTTTTAACATCACTGTTGATTTTGTTCTCAACTTGCTTTTCTGTGTTTTTTACATCCCCATCGCAGTTCTTAATCAACTTGCCTCTTCTTTTTTTTCCTTCTTTTTTTTTTAACATCACCGTCATATTTTTTAATCAAGATCTTTATTTGTTCCTTTTCCTTGAGCATTTTGGTTAAAATATATTTCACAAGCATGCTTTGATTTGAATGGCTGGCTGCTCCATCACACCCAACTTATGGATATGTTTTGAATCATATCCAACCTGTAGTTATTTGATTGATTCATGGATGTGCCTGGTGATGCAGTGCTCGAATCGCACGAGAGGAGGATGAAGAGCAACTCCGATTGATAGAGGAGGAGGAGCGGCGAGAAAGGGAGAGAAAGCTGGCAAAGAAGCGCAAGCTAAGTCATCGATGAGATGATGTCCTTATGACGTGTTCCTGCTCTTAGTTTGGATTCTTGTTGTCATTGTTTCTGAATATGCTCAGTGTTCTTGATGGTGTCAGTATTTATCAATAATAGTGAAGAATAATTGAAAGTATAAGGAAAAAAAAAAAGATTGCAATTAAGATCAGCAAAATGTTTGGATTACAGAAATTAAATCTTGTTTGTGCGTCGACTGAATTCCTGCTTTTGTTTGCATTTCCTTATTTCTTCCAAAGAAATTTTGAAGATAGGGTTCATAAAACCCAAGTTGCTACTAATTCCTCCGTGCGGTTTGGTGGCGCGGTACGGTGGTTGAAACTTTTTTTTTTTAATCAAGTGTTTGGTCTATCATTGATTAAAAAAACTATAATTTATAATTTATAGTTTTTGTTTTTATTTTTTTTTAAATCTCATCCATAAGAAACTATTATAATACCAAATGGTTGGTTTGAATCGGTTAAAGATTGCAAAGAGATTGGAGAGAGGTTTTTGTTTCGTAATTGTATTGTTCCTGGGGGTCGCTATCCGGGTCAAATGGTCGGATTCGTTCTCCTTCAGCGGACCGGAGGTAGAAGATTGTAAAGATTCATATTAATCACTCTTTGCTTTATGTTTTGCAATTATATCCCTGTTCAGTTTCTGATCTTTCTAGTTATTCTTGTTCACGTGTATTTTCATTTATTCTTGTTTCAATAACTGTCATAAAATCAATTCACCACCCAACCTTCCATTCTCACTCTCTAATATTTATTTATCTCTCAAATCAGTCCTCGATTTTATAAATGAGAAGATTTTATTTTAATTACAAATTGGGTTATAGAAGCAGTCAACGAACTTCAATTGTCCACATGTAGTGGGAATCTCATATAATTATATTCAAGATATTTTTTCATGCTTTATATTGTATGGACAAATATAAATATAAAAATATAATTAATATCCTTTTAATCTTCACAGGAGTTTGATATTTAACCTACGCCTGATGAATTGGTAAAGAAATTATTATCAATTAGAACCACGCCTTGAAACCAAGAATTAATTAAAAAAAGAAGTTTTAAAGGAAAACTTTTATAATATCATAAAAGTTTTATCAACATATTATATTATCTAATTGATTTTTACACACAACATAATTACATCTTGCAAGTAATTTATATCAAAAACACATTAACTATAATTAAATCTGGTTTAAAATCTAGTTTTTTTATATATATATATATATATATATTTACAGAGTTAATTTAAGTTGATTCAAAATCTAATTTATTTATTTTTAAGTTGATTAAAAAAAAAAAACATGATTTAAGCCCAAGAATTTTTGATTCATCGGTTAAGTTGGACTAAAATTTTATAGTTATGTATAAAGACCGTTTGTGTTTGTTTATGAGGTGGCAGTTGCAATTAAAGCAAAACACAGGAGCTAAACGTTTGGTAAAAAATAAAAAACAGCAATTATTCACGAGTCTCATTATTTACAGTGTCGCAAATGCAGGGTTAGAAGAATCGATCAAGGGTTGCTTTCACAAGCTTCCCGCTTGTTTCAGTAAACAATTGAGCTGTTATTTTCTGCAGGCTCTACCCATCATAATAAATTATATTTATAGGGTGCTAGATATTTATGCCTAGATAAAAGTAATTTACTATACTCTACTATCTGGGATTCTTTTCTCTATATGCCAATATCAAGCCATCATTAGCTTCTTCTTTTTTTTTCTATAAATGATGATTATAGGCATTTTTGGATTATTGTTAAATTATAATTATTTTATTATTTTTTGAAATAAAAATTAAATTAAATTTTTATATACCAATATCAAAAATAAATTTTATAAAATAAAAAAAATACTATTTTAATATATTTTAAAATATAGCTACCAACATATCCGATCTCATAAAATAAAATAAAAAAATTAATTTTTTATTTTTAATTGTATTTTATTTTAAAAATTAGTATTTAATATTATTCAATGACACTAATGATAAATTAGATGGAGGTTGTAGTCCTAATTTTATTTCTAATGATATTTTACTTAATATTGTTAATATTATTGCATACTTAAAAAACCAAAAAAATTATAATCTTTATAGGATGTATTTCATATGTGATGAAATTGTAGATAATTTAATATAATAATAAAAAATATTTTATATAAAATATTATTTATTTCATGATATAATAACAGTAGTTAAATCTATAATATTTAAATTAAAAACCATCAATATTAATATATATTTTTTAAAATTATTTTATATCTTCAATTTAAAAAACATTCTTAACTAAATACATTAAACTATTTTTTTATTCAACTTTAATTTTAATCACAAATTTAATCAAGCATATATAAATATCAAACTAACCTCGAATAAAAATTTATTTTATAAATTTATTTTTTTCAAAATACAATTATAAAAATCGTCATAATACCAATGTGATAAACTAGCTGGAATTGAGTTGAAGCTGGTGATGAGAGTAGGTGCGCTAGTCACATGTTTCATTGCCTGCCACCTCCTTTTGTTTTGTCCTCGTAAAATAGCCCTTGTCTAGGGCGGAGCGGCGGAGCATCGGGTGTTAGTGACTCAAACGGAATGAATAAACAGTAAATAAAAATGGAGTCAGTAATAAACTCTACCATGCTCACACTCGCTGGCTTCCCAAAATCCAACCCATCAATCCACCACCAAAAAACCGTCAAAGCTCGACGAACAGTTTTCTGCTCCCTCAGGTAATAAATTAATACCAATTCTGTTTTCAAATTTCAAATGAGTGATTTGATAATCTTGTCTCGTCTGCAGCAGCAGCAGCAGCAAGAATAGTAACAATGGAGGAGACGCTAATGGCTTACTTAAAGAAGAGGAGGAAGAGAAATTTAATGACATTTGGCTGCTTTTTAAAGAAGCTCAGCAGAGTAAGTAATACATTTTTTTTTTCTATTTATTTTGTTTATAAATAAATGAGTAATTAATGATTTTCGTTTTAGATATTCTTTACTTAAACAAACTACGCCTTGTGGCTGTTGAAGAGCTCAATAAAGCAAACAGAGAGAAGCAGTTGTTGCTTGATAAAATCCAGCAATTGGAGGCTGTCAACAAATTAGGTTTGGTGATTGAATTTTTGTTTTTGTGGTTAAATTATTTAATAAATAATTGATTACAAATTTATTTATTTTAATGACTGCGCTTTCTGAAGGAAATGAGCAGTCATTGTGGCGGGAATTGCTGCTTCGGATTGACTCAATGGTCCTAACTGGCTTGATTGATTCTGCTGAGGCTTCTGGTATGAGAAAAGCAGTCATGGGCAACAAGTTTAGTGTAGCTCTTGTTTTCTTCGACATCCGGCAGAAAACTGATGCTGAGCTTCTGGCACAACTCCGTCACTTCTCCGATGGAAGCAGAAAGTAATGATAACTTCATCTAAAAGTGTTTTTTTTGGACTGAAAAGGCATCTATAGGTGTTTTTGATGTTTTCAGCATCATCAATTATTTTGATGCTTTTTCAGCCTAAACGCACTTTGAAAAACGCTTTCAAACGCATGTGTGAATTGAATTGCTACTAGTTTTTTTAAAACCTGCTTTGAAAAGCACTTTCAAACGCCTGTGTGCGCTTTTGCAAAAGTGCCTTTTGAACTGAAAAAGCATCAATTGGTGTTTTGTGATACTTTTAGCATCATTATATAA